TATTTGGATTCATCAGGCTACACGGGTGGATTATATTAATTATATTAATTGATCCCCCACCCCTGTGGAGTCTTGATACCCCTGCAAGTCTAAATCCCAGTAAATAGTGATCTCTCAATGACAAGGGGACCATTTTCAATTCCCCCACCTTCAGTCACCTTCTTCCTGCCCAGAAGGAAACACCAGATAAAGAGTGTGACCTGAACAGTGTGTGGGAACTGTTATTACCTGAGACAGGCCCATGGTTGACATGGAGACCATAACATCCTGAACTGCTCCTGACAATATATACTTAGGTTGCTGTGATTTCAGAAGCCTCCACTGTGTGCAGACTGCAGAAGAGTGATCTATAGGGGCTATGATAAGAGAAAAAGCAACTTACTTTGAACACTTGCAGCTCTTCAAGAATCACTTCTTCCATTGATTCTGTGTCTGGGTTGTAAATTGTAATGACCTTCAGAACAATCCCATTATCTATAGGAATTTTTGTTTAAAAAAACACAACTTAGCATTTTTATGTATATGTTGCCAAAGTAGAAGATATTTTAACTAAAGTATGTATCCAAAATATGAAAACATAAATATGAGACACAAGAAATGGACAAAAGTAATATCTGTGTAGTTAATTTTATGCACTCAAAGCTGTACATAAATGATTTGAGGAACCTTTACAACTGCTTTGTAAGATAGATCACTCATTATCCACACAAATGTGGAGGGGATAAGGCTTAAGAAATAAATTAATTTGAACCTTCCCAACAATAACTAAAGGAGGAAGAGAGTAGTTGGACTGGTCCGGAGACAGGCATTTCAGCATGACAGAGCATGTGATGGAACAAGCACATTTCAGGGCCAGACTCTGGCCCCAAGTATAAAGAAAGTAGCAGGGTCAAAAAACAACATGGTTCTTTATCATCCAGACTTGGAAAGAGAGGATGGAGAAAGTTGATCAGGTATACGTAACAGAAGGAATGGTTGTCGATCTTAGGGAAACTTCCAAAAAGTAGGAGGGGAAGTATCCAGGCAGGGAGGTGGTGTGTTTGGGTGTCTCTTTGATGAGCAATTCCAAATAGCCCAAACAGATTGATCTGAAGTGAAAGAACCTGTCTGAGGAAATGCTAAAATACCTCGCTATTTATGTGGCAAAAGTCACAAGGCGAGAGGTCCTGATAAAGACAGCCAGATCTCCTCCTGTTAACATGACTAAGTGGTGACCACAATCCAGCTCACTCTGCCTTTTGTTGTGGAAGTAGCCAGGAAATGGATGTGATCTTGGCCATATGCAACATGTAGAAATAAGCTGGTCTTGGCATCCAGATGGGGGTGGAGACAAAGCAAAATGGAACTTTTTATGTGTGGTGGGTATTACTCAGAAGCCTGATGTAACCACTTCTACAGTATTTCCAGCCATGTGACTCCAGAATCAGTGCCACGTGACAGCTTCTCTCTGCCTTTTGTGTTTACCTGTCCCAATAAATAAGACATCATATTGCCCATCTTCTGCTTCCACTCTGTCTACTGCTATTTGTTTGAAACTGTATTTCCCATCTGTCTTCACAAGGACTGGTCTCTTATGAATAGGCCTAAGAGGCTGATGCATCAGGGGATGACTTCGAGCAAAATGGATTGCTTCATCAGGGTAGTCTTTGGTACTCTCATGTAGGCCTCCGTTCACTTTGCTGGCACACTGAAAAACACAAGGAAGAGAAGATTACATTACTGATACTCGTGGGCTATCAAAAGCATGTAAGTGTGGACATGTAAGCATCATGCTAAGGTGTTGGTTGGAAAAGGAGCACCTTTGGTGTAGTGGTTAAGTGTGCGGACTCTAATCTGGGAGAACCGGGTTTGATTCCCCACTCCTCCACTTGCATCTGCTGATATAACCTTGGGTCAGTCACAAGCTCTGGCGCAGCTGTTCCTGAAAGAGCAGTTTGTGTCAGAGTTCTCTCAGCCCCACCCACCTCACAGGGTGTCTGTTGTGGGGAGGGGAAGGGAGAGGAGTTTGTAAGCCACTCTGAGACTCCAAGCGAAGGGCGGGGTATAAATCCAATCTCTTCTTCTTCTTTGCATATATGAACTTCTGCAATCAGTGTAGAGCCCACTTGCGGGGTAGGGTGGAATAAAAATTAAACAAATAGAAGTTGGAACCTGTTATAGAGGCTGGGAAAATGGTAGGGAAATAAAGCAAATGTGGGACTTTATTCTGACCTAGAGAACATTCACCTGCTTTCCCTCAAATCCAGAGATACTGCAGACAGTCACTCTCCTGCAAAATGGTTCCTAGCCATAGAAAGGCTCTCTGAATCTGTTTCATCCAGAAAGAACAAGATGCAACATTTAATTTCATGGTGTCATCAACATGATGTAGACCTGGTAAACAGAAGTGTTAATCTGCTACCTTGTCCACTACGGAAAAAAGCTAATGCACCTGAGTGCTTTTAAAAGACTGAGAAATAGCCATATTTGCTATTGATGTCTAGAATAGTTTCATTTCAAAATATCCTCATGCAAAAAAGAGTGTTGATAGACAATCTCTTCGCAACCAAATCCAGAACTTGTTCAGGATTTGATGGTTATTTACTCGCTTTCTCAGGATGCATTCAGAAAAGTTAATATGTTTTCCAAAGTTATCTCCTGAATACTGGCAGGCACGTGCCAATGCATGCAAATTATTGCACTGACTGAAAGAAAATTGGAGTTTGATTGCTATAAAGCACATGTATGCCTTCAATATAAGCTTTTCGAAATAGGAATAGTGGCAAGATGTATCAATATGATTAACTGACAAAATAGTGATTACCAACCCACTAATATTTCTCTTGCACTTGAGATGTGTTAATGACATTTTCCTCATCTGAATCAATGAGAAACAAGCTTCTAAGCAATACCACCAGGATTTCAAGAGCTTTCACCATACCAGTTGAGCTGCTCAAAGTAGCTTGGCCACTTGCTGACTCCAAAGTTTGAAACTTTGTACTCCTAGGAAATAGCAATTAGCTGTGATACTTTTGCAGTTATTTGGTGAAAAAAAATCTTTCAAACGTGCTTTAATTTGAATGATTATAATACTGCTGAGACACTAGAACCCCCCAACACAACATCTGGACTCTTTCTGGAACACTTTGATCTCCTTATTGCTATGGATACCAACAGGAGCCTGTGATCTGTGAAGGCTACCTCTTGGGCATTAAACCCTTGATCATTCTGAATATTTAAAACATGTAAAGATCACATCAATCAGTCCCTAATATCCATTATAAATCAATCAGTGATCCAGGGCATCTTCCTCGTGCCTAAAACAGGTGGTCATCCATCCATTACTAAATAAACCATTGCTAGACAAGAGTGACACAGCCAATTACCACCCAATATCCAATTTGCCATTTCTGGGCAAAATGATAGAAAAAGCAGTTGTAGAGCAACTCCAGGCCTTCCTGGATAAACTTTCTGCCATAGACCCTTTCACTCTGGTTTCAGGCTGTACTATCGGATGGAGATGACTATAGTGGCTCTAGTGTATGACCTTCATCTAAATAAAGACAAAGGCAATTATCTCTCTGCTGCTCTTACAATAACTACTAGACTACTAGCCTTTGATACAGTGGACCATGCCATCCTGTTGAAATGTCTGGAGGCAGAAGTAGGGATTAAGATATGTGCTTTGGATTGCCTCAATTTATTCCTTAGGATTCAGAAGGTTGCCATTGGGGACAAGGTTTCCACTATGTGGGATCTATCCTGTGAGGTTCCACAAGGTTCAGCCTTGCCCCCATGCTGTTCAATGCCTTTATAAAGCTCTTTGTAGAAATCATTCTTGGTTTTAGAATACGGTGTTATCAATATGCTGATGATACCCAGCTCTATGTTTCTTTATTCAAATCTCATGGTGATAGGGCAGAGACTCTAAACCTATGCCTGACTGCTTTAGTTAAATGGCTACAGGTAAACAAGCTGAAACAGAATCCTGACAAGATGGAGGTAATATTGCTTGGGAAGGTTAGGGTCCTGAAGGATTTGGTGCACCACATTTTTGATGGAGTCCAGTTGACTCTCACAGACTTGGTTAAAAACCTAAGGAATGATACTTGATCCAGCTTCATTGCTGGAGAAGCATGCTGATGCAGCTGCAAAAAAGGCACTCTATCAAATCCACCTAGCTCAGAAAATTTCCCCCTTTCTTGAGACTCCTAACTTGACCATGTGGATCAATGCTATGCTTACCTTGAGGCTACATTACTGTAATGGATCTGCTCTTAAAGACTACTTGGAAACTCCAATTAGTGCAGAACATGATCCAGCTACTAACAGATGCTAAGCGTAACTGTCTTTCTGTAGTCACTCCATTGGTAACCAATCAGTTACCATGTTCAGTTCTAGATTCTGGTTATCACCTACAAAGCACTTAAAGGCACTGGACCCACATACTGCAGGACTGACTCTCCTGCTTCATTCTACTGTGACAGCTCTGCTCATCTGAGCAAAGCCTTCTGAAAATGCCACCCTACAAACAGGTATAATCAGCAACTGCCAATTTACAGGCATTATCTGTGGTGGTTGCTATCTGGCAATGGCTAGAATCCATTTGTGAGGAGGCATTAGGTTAAACAGATACTTGGAAATTAAAACCCCTTTGTCTGAGTTAAAGCAATGTATTTAGTGCTAAATCACCATGCTGCTTAGTAATTCAAATATTCAACCTTTGCAGGGCACAGGCCTCAGCCTCTAAAGGGAGATACTGAGATATGTTTATTTTTTACCAGTACATGATCAAGCCCTGTCATCATATTAATTAAAACTTTTATTTAAAAATAATCTGACAACTCTAGATCTGATTAAGCAAAACTTTATTGAATAGATACACAAATAAAAATAAATACCTCACAGATAGATACCCCATAGAAATCAGTATCATGTAATAATACATGCCATTCCTATTCTACCTAAGCAGACTTTTTTTTTGGGGGGGGGGGGAGTTAAGTTTCAAACCTTTGTAGCCAGACATTTGTCAAAAAAAGGGAAAGCAAATTTCATTGAATTCCAGATCTGAGAGATTCAGAGGTTATTTGGGGGTGCCCAGATTATATAGATGCTATTACATAAGACAGAACATGACTCTATTGATTTGTGCTCTCTAAAGGCATACTGTGATGCTGCTCTGATAGACACTATTCACAATGGCACTTCCTCCCCTGGGAATTAAACCAACTGTGTAGCATGTTGAAAACTAGTTTGTCAGTTAGCTGGGCTCTGTGTAAGAACAGGAAGAGAGCTCCTGGAGTGATGAGTGTTTATCCCCCCCCCCTTTCCTTAACTGCTGGGGAGAATTACCTGATCTACTGTGTGGGAGGATAGTGTTTGAGGGTATGTGGGTGTATATAGCCTGCTGGAGAGTGGTGCCTGTTTGAATGATTGCAAAAGGTGATTGCGGAAGGTGATTGCTGTTGATTGAGGAGGGTCTGTTTTACCTGGGGTTGACTGTTGGCCCCGTCCTCTGCTGGGTGAGTCTTGAATTTGTAAAGATCCTCTGCACCATAGATATGAGCTGAAGGGCAAGAGTTAAAGGGCTCTTGCTTCGTGGCTCTTAGCCTGGGAACCCCAAAGTAGTTAATGAAATTGTACATGGTTCTGCTTTTTTCCCCTTTTGGCTCAGGTAGCCATTTGGGCAGTTCTCTAAGTTTCAGAGTTTGTTAACACACTAAGATATTTCTAGGTGAAAGAATCCATTTGGGGAAGTGATGATGAATGTTCATAGACCATTTCTAATCACCTGTGAGGAGTGTGCCATTTTCGTCATCCTCCCTGAGGAGAAGGTTTGAAGCCTGGAGGAGAAGGTTCGAAGCCTGGAGGAAAGGATTACTACTCTCCATGAGATCAAGGAAAGGGGGGAGTTTATTAATGGAAGACTTGATGTCTAGCATAGGGTCGAAGAAACCAGTCAAAGGAACAACAGTGTGGTTGACTGTCCTAACAAGACTCCCCAGAGTGCTACAGCAGGACCCCAAAGGGGTCGAGATGGCACTCAGTGCCATTAGAACTGAGGAATCAATTCCAGGTCCTTGTGGTGGAGGCAAAGATGGAAACATTGACAGTGGAAGAATCACAAACAGGAAGACAGAGGGAGGAGGACAGGGAGATACAAAGAAATGGCACTGGAAGGAAAGGAAGGTGTTGGTCATAGGTGACTCCCTGCTGAGGGGTATGCAACGTTATGTGTCCAGGACTGACCCCCTGGCCCAAGAGGTGTGTTGCTTGCTGGGGTGAAAATTAAAGACATTACAGACAATGTCTCTAAACTCATCAAACCTATGGAGCATTACCCATCTGTGATGGTCCATGTGGGAACCAACAACATAGCTGTGAACACTATTGAAAGCATTAAAGCTGACTATGAAGCTCTTGGGAGGAAGCTGATGGGAATGGGAGCACAGGTAGTGTTCTCTTTCATCCTTCCTGTTGTAGGAAGGGGAATACAATGGGAACAGATGATAATGGAGGTGAACAACTGGCTGCATTGGTGGTGCCGGCAGGAACAACTTGGATTCTGGGACTACAAGCTACTAGCATATGGTGGACTTCACCTGTCAAGGTCAGGGAAGAATGTGTTTGGCAAAAACCTGAAGAGATTCATCAAGAGGGCTTTAAACTGACATCACAAGGGGAACAAGATGACCAACATGGGGATTTAAATGAAGAAGAGCAAACAACAGAGGCCCACCTGGGAGGGTCGGGTCTAATGGAGCCAAGGGTGTGGGGTTTCAGGTGTCTATGTACCAATGCCAAAAGCTTGGGTAATAAAAAGGAAGAGCTTGAGCTTCTAATGCAGACAGAGGTTTATGATTTAGTAAGCATTACAGAGACTTGGCACCTGGAGAGATGATTCCCATGACAGGAATGTAGTAGTGGGTAGATATGTGTTGTTCAAGAAAAACAGAGAACAAAAAGATAACATATGAAGTCTTATTGGATGAAGAAAATGAATTAAAATCGTGGCAAGCGTTTCAAGCAATGAACCTAAATCTCACAATATGGGAAAGGAATCAATTAACCTCAAGAGTTACAAGAGAGAAAAAAATGGAATTTTATAATACAGAAATACAATTAGACAAGATATGGTTGAGAGAGAAAGAAAAACTGGTGCAAAAAAGAATTAATGGAGGACTGGAAAAACCCATCAATGATTAAATGGGGAAAAGATTTGGGACGGAACATAGAGAGAGAAGAATGGGGAAAAACATGGAAGTCGATTAAACTGCTAAGAACAATATCATATAAAGAAAATATAATAAAAATGATATACAGATCGCACTGGACGCCAGATAGACTCCAAAAATGCAATACAAATGTTTCAGGGAATTGCTGGAGGTATAAGAATAACATAGGAACGTATTTCCATATATGGTGGAAATGCGAGAAAATACAAAGATTCTGGAAAAATACTAAACAGTTGATAAAAGACATCACAGGGATAGACTTAGCGATTATACCGGAAATCTTTTTATTAAATATTACACCTGAAGGACTTAAATACAATGAAACATGTATTATTGTATATGTAATTACAATGTCAAGAATATGTAAAGCAAAGAACTGGAAGTCTGACAGTATACCGAGTAAGGAAGAATGGATTAGCATTCTTTTTGAAGTAATTGAAACGGATAAGTTGAATATGTTTTTGGCGGGAAAATCAGAGGAAAAATTTAAACAGAAATGGCAAAATGCCATAAAATGGTACGAAGAAAAGTTGTAATGCTAACCCCCAATTGTTAGAAAATAAGAGATAAATGTATGTAAGTTATGGAAAACTGAAAATAAAATGATTAAAAAAGAAAAAAGAAAAAAAGAAAAACTGAAAGGTTCGAAGGGGAGGCAGAATTGTTCCCATTAAGCCATTTCAGATGGCAATATTAAAGATTGTTTTACTATCACTGCCTTGCTGGAGTGTGAAGAGGGGTGTGTCAGGACAATGGACAGAGCTGTGGTGAAGTGCCCAATGCTGGACTATGGACTGTACCCTGCAGCCAAGGGAAGCCTTGTGCCAAAGAAGCCTGCCGAGTCAGATAGGGCCCAGAGACTACAGAAGACTTCTGCCCCCGCACCTCTGTATCTGCACAAGGACTGTGATGCAGACCAGAGTAGGCTTTCCATCCAGATATTTCTATGAGTAGACTTAATAAACTTTATTCCTGTTTTCATACTAGTTTTGAGTGTTTCAGTGTTCCTTCCAGCTTGTATAAGTGCCTTGCTGTTTTGTCAAAGATCCTTTACAGCTGCTATCTGGGTCACTTTAAGACATCAACTATATTAGCTTATGGATAAGTGGCCATATGTGTGTGTGTGTAGGTATTCCTTACCTCAGGCTGTTTTAGTGTGGATTTGGGCTTGAATGGGGGGGGGGCACATTTACGATAATATGGGTCTATTGTACAGATATCTTCATAGACCACACACAAAAATACCCAGTGACCCCAGTTCTGATCAAGGGGATTTGCCTGCTGTTGTTTTTAAATCAGAACAGTGCTCCATTTTCCTGAGGCATCAAGTCACCATAATAATTAAAAAATAAAACACCTCACACTTACTGATCCAGGTCTTGGGTATGGTACTTTTCCTTCATACACAGACCAGTGGTATTCAGGCCCTTCTTTGTGTGCATACGGTCCATTGAAAGCTGCACGGAAACTAGCCATGTGATAGACACATATAGCATATCCTCGGAATATATTGCTATAAAATAAAAATCAAGACACATTCTGAAGTAACACTCTAGACGGAATTAGCCATGAAGATGAGATATGGTGCAGAAAACAGAAACTCTCATATACAAAACATGTGTGTAAGATGAGCAAAATCCTCACTGCCCACTCACATCAGTGTATACATGCAAACTTAGATTCAGGTGGGTAGCCGTGTTGGTCTGAAGCAACAGAACAAAATTCAAGTCCACTGGCACCTTTAAGACCAACAAGGTTTCATTCCAGGTATAAGCTTTCATGTGCATGCACACTTCTTCAGATACATTGAAATGGAAGTTACCAGTCCATACATATAGGTAGAGGATGGGCAGCAATTAGCACACAACATAATGAAGATGTTTAACAGATGCAAGGATCAAACAGGAATAACAAGCGTTAGTTTATATGGTCACCATCTGCCTGGATCGAATTCCAGGGGGAAAACACAGTGAAGCAAATAACTATATCAAAACTAGAGACTAAATGTATCCCTCTTAATTGTGGAATGCTGAGAGCAATCAACTGAGACCCTGTTGTTATGCTCCATCTGTCTCCTCTCAAGCATGGAGGTAGCTGTCAGCATCCTTTTCTTTAAGGTGGGGCGATTGCCTGTGCAATGTTATATTTCCTCTGTCACCTCTGTATGGTCTGGTGATGGACTCACATTCTAGCTGTGTCTGAAGAAGTTAAAGTGATTCGCAAAAGCTCATACCCTACCACAATTTTTGTTAGTCTTTAAGGTGTTGCTGGACTCTTACTCTCCCCATTACAGTGTATCGGAAGAAGTGTGCATGCACACGAAATCTTATATCTTGAATAAAACTTTGTCATAAGAACATAAGAGAAGCCAATGTTGGATTGGGCCAATGGCCCATCCAGTCCAACACTCTGTCACACAGTGGCCAAAAATACCAGGTGCCATCAGGAGGTCCAGCAGTGGGGCATGGACACTGGAACCCCTCCCACTGTTGCCCCCCCGCACCAAGAATATAGTGCATCACTTGCCCCAGCCTGAGAGTCCCTATCTATACCTTGTGGCTAATAGCCACTGATGGACTTCTGCTCCGTATGCTTATCTAATTCCCTCTTGAGGCCATCAATGCTTGTAGCCACCACCACCTCCTGTGGCAGTGAATTCCAAGTCTTAATTACTCTTTGGGTGAAGAAATACTTCCTTTTATCTGTTCTAACCTGACTGCTCAGCAATTTCATTGAGTGCCCACGAGTTCTTGTATTGTGAGAAAGGGAGAAAAGTACCTCTTTCTCTACCTGCTCTTTCCCATGCATCTCTCCCTTATAATAAAAGAATAGTGGGTGCCAAAGTTCTAAAATTGGCCCCTTTAGTGTTAGGCTGAAAAAACTGCCACTCGGAAGACACTGGCTGGGTTCATTGGCTGCTTTGTGCAGTCCCGGCCAGTGTTCCAAGGTCATTTACATATGGAAGCTGATTGGACTACACTCCATTCCACACCTCAAACTCACCCCCCCCCCGCAAGGCAGTTGGAATTTTCAGTTGGGAGAGGAGAATGATGTCAGCTGCTCCCTAGGCAGAGGCTGTGTGTGTGGTTTTTTTTTTTTTGTAAAGACAGAGAGGCAGATAAAGGTTGGCTGATGGTTGCCAACTCCAGGTTGGAACTCCAGGACATAGGGTTGCCAACTCCAGGTTGGAAACTTCCAGGATATTTTAGGGATGAAGCCTGCTGAGGGTGGGATCTGAGGAGGAGGAGGAAGAGGGGGACCTCAGACAGATACAATGCCATACTGCCCACACTCCAGACAAGCTGTTGTCAGTCTCCAGGTGACAGCTGGAGAGATCTTAAAGCTTTGGTGCTACTTCAAAGTTCCCCAGGAGCCCAAAACAGAGTAGTGTTTTGGAAAATCTTGAGTTCATTCAATGATACCTAGTTTGCAAACCACAATCCAAAGTAAAATGCTCTGTCTATACCATAAATATTTATAATTCATAGATTTATATTAATCTAGGCTCTCCAAAAATAAATAGCAGTGAAATATATGCTGCAGTATTTTGCTGTATTGTGAGACAGCTTTCTACATGCTGTAGTGTTTCCTGTTAGTGGCAATTTGTACTGTAGCAATATGGCAAAACACCAAGGATGATAAAGAGAAGGGAAATGGAAGTTTGAGAAAGGAGGATGCAAGGATGAGAACAAGATGAAAGTAAGAAAAAGGTGGGATGGAGTTGGTTCTCTTTTCTGCAAACCAAGATTTCAAGTCACAATTTAATCTTGGGTTGCCATGAAAGCAGTGAGTTTTCAATTTGTGTATAAGGGGAACAGGGAGGAAGCCTGATGCAACATACAAATCTAGGATCCCCCAAACTAACTTGTTATTACATCTGATACTAAACTAATGCTTGAAAATAATGCTGCTGTTGTTTAATTCTCTTCAGCTAGAAGATGAAATCTCAACTTTACGACAAGTGTTAGTAGCCAAAGAGAAGCATCTTGTGGAAATAAAACAAAAACTTGGTATCAACTTGATGAATGAACTGAAACAGAACTTTAGCAAAAGCTGGCATGATGTGCAAACCACCACTGCGTGAGTACAAACTACCCACACAATCGTTCTTTACTTTTGTGTAGCACTAAGTGTTTCTTTCACAAATCTTTAGAAATTTAGTGGGGTTCAGTGGTTTGACTGCTAAACACATATAACAAAAAACATAAAGTGAGTTTTAATTGATTTATATTCACATGTGAATTATCTCAGAATGAGTGAGTTATATTAAAATCAAAAGATAAGGAACTACTAACAGCCATCAGTGAGCTTCATGGTTCAACAGCTCTCGGAATCAATTCTCCCATTACTACTGGCTACTAGTATGGTATGGCCGAGATTGGGGGGGCAAGGCGGGCGACAGAAGGCCGATGCCTCCGTCGCCCGGCCCTCTACAGAATCCACCCCCCAAACCTCCAGGTATTTCCCTCCTTAGAGCTGGCAACCCTACATTCCCCTCAGTGCCTGTTGGTAGGCAACTAAGCTTGGTCCTGTCACCTACTTTGGCCTTTGGGAGAAAACACATTGGGGCCAATCCTGATAGGGTTGCCAACTCCAGATGGGAAATTCCTGGAGATTTGAGGGATGGAGCCTGAAGAGGGTGAGGTTTGAGGAGGGGTGGGACCTCAGACAGGTACACTGCCATAGACTCCACCCTCCAAACCAGTCAGTCTCACATAGGGAACCATTGTTGCCAATCTCCAGGTGAGGGCTGGAGAGCACTCAGTATTACAACTGCTCTGCAGAAGGGAGGGCAGAAGTCAGCTGAAGTCAAAGGGGCAGATAATGGTAGGTTGATGGCTAGCTGGGAAGGAGATGGGGTTGCCAACTACATGCTGACAAATTCCTGGGGATTTGAGGGGTGGAGCCTGGAGAGGGTGGGGTTTGCAGAGGGGTGGGACCTCAGACAGGTAGAATGCCATAGACTCCACCCTCCAAACCAGCCATTTTGTCCTGGGTAACAATTGCTGCCAATCTCCAGGTGAGGGCTACAGATTACTCACAATTACAACTGCTCTTCAGGTAGCAGAGATCAGTTCCTCTGGAGAAAACAGTGGACTCTGTCATTATACCCTGCTGAGGTCACCACAGCAAATTGACACTGTTTGCCCAAAGCCAGAGCACTGCCCCAGAGCCTCTTTCTAGATCCCGTTGTATTGCTTTCACAACGGGCTTTACTGCTAGTAATCTTATAAACCTTGATCATGTCACCCCTCAGCCGTCGTTTCTCCAAGCTAAAGAGCCCCAAGCGTTTTAACCTGTCTTCATAGGGAATGTGTTCCAACCTCATTTTCAGTGAGTTATGTACTATGACCCCAAGATCTCTCCCTTGGTCAGTCTCCGCCAGTTTGGACCCCATCAATGTATATTTACGGTTAGGATTTTTGGCTCCAATGTGCATCACTTTGCACTTGGCCACATTGAACCCCATTTGCCATGTTGACGCCCACTCGCCCATCCTTGACAGATTTCTTTGGAGTGCCTCACAATCCTCCCTGGTTCTCACCACCCTGAACAACTTCGTGTCATCGGCAAATTTAGTCACTTCACTGCTTACTCCCAACTCCAAATCATTAATAAACAAGTTAAAAAGCATCGGACCGAGTACTGACTCTGTGGTACTCCACTGCTTACCACACTCCACTGTGAAAATTGCCCATTTATACTCTCTGTTTCCTATTAATTAGCCCGTTTTTGATCCACAAAAGGACTTGGCCTTTTATCCTGTGACTTTTGAGCTTACTTAGGAGCCTTTGATGAGGAACTTTATCAAAAGCTTTCTGGAAGTCAAGGTCAGTCTTTAAGGTGCCACTGGACTCAAATTTTGTTCTGCAAGCAAACTTGTTATGAATGAACTGAACACATAAGCACACATGGACAGCAGAGGTCAGAAAGAAGCATCTCCCAGGTTTCACAAGAACCGTGCAGGTTGGGTTTCAAAACTGCTAGACAGGAGGGGATTACAATACATGGCAGGTGGGCTCCAGAAATATCTTTGGGAAGTTAATATGAACTTTGAAACTGCCTGCAGTAAATTATAGAACTGACAGTGCATGTCTGGCACTGAACAGCAGCTTCTCTGCAGATACATATTTTGAGGCAGACCACTCATTCCACTCACTGTAAAAGGTAAACACATAGCCTGGGAAATCAGATGTGGGAGGGAGAGATAGTCAGTGAGAACAGAGGAGAGCAGTAGGTAGCAGTTCCTCCTTTTCAGGTGGGTGCAACTGCCTCAAGTTTATATTTTTCTCCCTGCAGATGGGGAATTCTGAGAGGCATTATAGACCTGGCAAAGATCAAAGATCTTTGCAAAAGGAAACTTGCATGCAAATGGCCTGATTTGGTACCATTATGGAGGAAAGGTGAAAGATTGGCTTTTCCTGATCTGAACTGAGGCTACATGTGCTTCCAGTCTGCCTTGTACAGTTCTGCCATCTATGCCATATCTCTCTTAGGCCTCAATCAACAGAGCAGCCTGGCTGTCATCCATTGGGCCTGTGCAGGACTCTCTCCCAAAAAGTAAACAGACAAGCCTGTCCCATGCTCAGCAAACCCTCTACCTGTCCTTTTATCATATGCAGGAGGCAGGGCCAGTGTCAGCATACCTTGAAGAGGGGCAGCTACTGGGGCCCTCTGTCACAGACCTCCCCAGCTATCCACCCCGCTGCCACCTGTCCAAGAGAGCCTTTCCCTGCCCATTTATTTGCAAGCACTCCCAGCTTCCCAGAGTTGATGGGAACATGCATGCAGGTGGTGCACAGGAGTAGCACTCCTAGTGGCCGCAGAAGCTGCATGCAGGTGGTGCACAGGAGCAGCACTCCTAGTGGCCACAGCGGCTGCATGCACCACCCAGTGCTGTTGGGGAAAGGGTATGAATGCAGTGCAGGTGGCTGGGAGTGCCTGTAGTGGTGGGAGGGCTTGTGAGAAGGGGAAGGATTCGCCGTTGGGTGGGCACACACAAAAGTGGATGGCTGGAAAGGGAGGCATGAGGGGCACCTGGTAGTGGACAGGAGGCAGCCCCTGGGCATGACTTCCCAGAGCCTCCCAAAGCCTGGAACTGACACAGGTAGAAGGCCACGTCCTCCCAGCCACTGTTGTCTGTTTCTCTCTCTTCCCTGTCATTTCAGAGACAGGGAGCTGTGCCATCAGGGAGATTCTGCATCCAGGTAACAAACCAGACCACCGGTTGTCATCCCCATGCCCTCTGCACAAGACTCTGTCCCGCTGTACTGTGCATCTTTGAAAAGCATATTCTCACCAGGTCCCCTGATTTGCTAATAGGATCTGTGACATTTACAAATTGATTGCACAGTTGGTTCCTCTTCAAGATGCATCAAGAACCTTTCATCAGTCATCTCACCTTGTAGTGCTGAAGAGTCCAAATATCACTGGGTTTTTGTTATCCCGAGTGTGGAGTAAAAAGACATCCTCTGCAAAAGAGAAATATGATGGGGGAGTTAGTGGGTTCACCTTTCGAAAGTAGTCAGCTTTAAGTGGCTGCTCTTGCAACCTATCAAGGAGAGAGCTTTATACTTAAATTTATCTTGACTTACTACGAACTCACAAAGTAACTAGGAATGCCAGCCTTCATTGGGGTATGGAGTTCTCCTGGAATTACAACTGATCTCCGAACTCTAGAGCTCAGTTCCCATGGAGAAAATGGCAGCTTCAAAGGGTGGACTCTATGGTTGAGCTCCCTTCCTTCCCCAGGCTCCTGTCAAGGATATGGCTAGAAATATAGGGGGACAGTTGCTGGACTTGACCAATAAGATCACAGAGGATATTGTGGCACACATAGTCAAAAAAAACTTGGTCTCTCAGGTCAGCATACCAAGAGACCTAGAACAGAATAGCCTTGAAGATCAGTAAGAAGAAGACAGAGTGGCAACAATTATATGGTTTTGTGTAGATTAGAAGCCATCTAAACCAATATCGGGGCTGCGGTGGCTCAGAGGTTAAGACGCTGAAGCTGCAGAACAGAAGGTCTGTAGCTCGGCAGTTTGAGACCCTAGTGCCGTGTGATAGAGTGAGCTCCTGTCTCTGGCCCCAGCTTCTGCCAACCTAACAGTTTGAAAGCAAGAAATTGCACATAGATAAATAGGTACCGCTTTGGTGGGAAGGTAACAGCATTCCATGCACCTCGGCATTTAGTCATGAAGGCCAAATGTCCACGGAAACATCTTTGGACAGTGCTGGCTCTTCAACTTGGAAACGGAGACAAGCACTGCCCCCTAGAGTTGGATTCAACTGGCTTTTGCACAAGGGAAACCTTTACCTTTTAAAACCAATATCAGTAGATACAATTTGTTTAGGCCCAGGTGCAGAAGTGCCTGAGAATTGCAAGAATTTCCAAGGTATGGAAGGTATGATTCAAGGATGGGAGTATGGGTTGAGAGATAGTCATATGTATGAGATAATTGTAATAGTTATTTTAAAATAGACTTTAAGATAAAAAGAAGTGAGAATGAATGAACATTTTTCATATATCCTACGAAGTTATTTAAGTAAAGATAACCTTATATATTGCTTGAAGTTATAAGGTAATTAATTAGCCAAGAATATGCATTTTATGCACCCTTATCATGTGGGACAGTTAGCAATTGTTAGGAAATTATCCCACTGATTCTGATTCTTCCCAGAATATCTCCACCCTGCCCAGAAGCACCATGTGTCTCACCTAGCTCATCAAAGTAGGTGTCAATGCCATTCATTCCTGGCACAGAGCAGACTAGTCGGGTTTTGAGGAAAGTGGTCCACTTATTCACTAGCATCCGCTGTCCACCCATGTCATTCTGGATATGAACAAAGAGCAAAGAGAATATAGAGAATGCAAGTAACAGCCAAAAAAATAATAATTACAAAATTATATCTTGAATAAAGAGATTGGGTATGGCTTGAAAATGTCTGCCTCTCCACAGCCTTCTTTTCTTGGCTTTTGGTATTCAAGACGTTTGACATGACAATGAGCATGTGAATAGGAATGGCAACTGAGTTGGGCTTTCTGGTTCCTATACTTCTCCCTCATGGTTGAAGCCAGCGCTATCATTGCACCTCCACTGATGTGTGAATGTCTTCTGTGTTCTCTCCAGATGTAAGGCACTTCTTGTTCCTGGGTTCATCATCACATACCAGATGGATCCACTGCTTTAACCTCACCACACTGCAGACAAGATTATACATGAGCTCCAGTTTATGTATTGCAATTTCTAACTAGAGGCCACTTGAACATGTCACCATGTGGCAACTCCTCCATTCACTTGCCACAACATGTTGAAGGGCTTGTCATGAGACACCCACAATCACAAGGAACCTTTCCCTGCAATCATCAGTTCTTTGTTTTATTTATTTCATTAGTCTTGTATCCCACCCACCCCGCAAGCAGGCTCAGGACGGGTTCCATCAGTCTCAGTACAATATATAATACAATTCAAAACAATTTAAAACAACAGTTTAAAATGACATAGATCATAAAGTACTGTGTATAATTTTAGCCAGATGTCTCAGCAGTTTAGATGGTTCCTATATGCCTGTTCAGGTCCAGGCCTCCGATGGGAGATGGGAGATCAACTGGGGAGGGGGTACATCCACTGCCTCAATCAAAAGCCTGGTGGAAGAGCTCCATCTTATAGGCCCTGCAGAATGTAATAAATCCCGCAGGAATTGTAATAAATGCCCTGATCTCATATGGGATTCTACCAAGTAGGGGCCAAGGGCAAAATGGCCCTGACCCGAGTTGAAGCAAGTTGGACGTCCTTGGGCTAGGGGCTACCAAAAGGTGTTGGTTAGTAGACCTCAGTGCTCTACGGGGCTCATATGGGGAGAGATGATTCCAAAGGTATGCTGGCCCCTGGCCATAGAGGGCTTTAAAGGTAAGCACCAACACTTTGAAATGGATTCAGTATTCAATAGGCAGCCAGTGCAGTTCACGCAGCACTGGGTGGATGTGAGCCCACACAGGTGTTGCCGTCAACACCCGTGCTGCTGCGTTCTGCACTAGCTACAAGTTCCAGAGCAGAGTGAAGGGTAGCCCCACATAGAGAGAGTTAAAATAATCCAGTCTGGAAGTGACCATTGCATGGGTCACTGTACCTAGGTCATGGAAGGTTAGATATGGGACCAACTGCCTGATCTGCCTCAGATGGAAAAAGGGAGACCTGGCAGTGGTGGTGACCTAGGCCTCCATAGAAAAGGAGGCACCCAAGAACACCCCCAGACTCTTCATCCTTGTTGTTGGCACCAATGGAGACCCATCAAAGTTTGGGAGCCTGATTCCCTGGCTCAATCCCCCATGGCTCCATCTTGGATGGATTTAACTTCAGTCAGCTCTGTCGCAACCATCTAGCCACAGCCTGTAATGCCCTGTCCAGATCTCTTGGGGCTGTGTCCATGGGGGCCATCCATCAGTATATAGAGCTGGGTGTCATCCGCGAACTGGTTACATTCCAGCCCATATCTCCAAATAATTAGGGTGAGGGAGTTCATATAGGTATTAAAGAGCATAAATTGCTCCCTGTGGCACACCACATTCCAATGAGTTGGGACAACTCTCCCCCAAGCCTGGAAAGCCACACAAAAGCTCTTTCAGTTGGTGATCAGGGCAAACACGGTCTCCACAGTGTAGCCTGTTATTTTCTATTGAATTATAAACTTTGAAACCATAAATCATTTATATAGCTTATGTTTCTATTCTAAAGTCCATATTCTACCCGGACTACAGAGAGCTATCAGCCTTCTCATTAAAAGCTGTGGTTTGGTTAGAATTTTAAATTAAATTCATGGCTATAATTCGTTTTATTTGTATAGACATTACTAATTCCTTGAAAATGATTGGTCACTTCTGACAATTCAGTGAGCCAAATAAGTTAGCTAGTTAAATTATTTGTTTTATTAACCACCCTTAGCATTACTTTAGTGATTGCAATACCATAAGATTTGTTTAGCTCAAATTCTAGTTACTTCATTTTTGAGCAGCACGTCTGAGGATAGAAGGCTTAAAGGTTAAAAGCTTGCTTTGCAATGCGGGTAAAACTTTGTGGCATGGAAAAAGGTTTGCATAGTTCATAAGTATTTCTCTACAGAACTACACTAGAAAACAATCCACAAAAATTATCAAGACCCAAAAGTAGCAGGCCTAATCTACATTCTGTCCAAATGTACCTTTCTTTCTCATGGGTGATCTCTGAAGCAATCAGTTCTGTAAGTTCTGCTTCACCGGAAAGGGCCTGTGGATAGCCCTGATTGGCTGCCCTCTGCCCCCAATCATGTCACTGAAATCCCACCCAATCACTATAGCAGTTTTGCACTTAAAATGAAGTGATAAATGTATCACAGTATTTCAAGAAAATTAAGAAAGTGAATAGTCCACTTGCAGTATATTAACTGTTCTGTAGACTGAGACATAGGTGAAAAGGCATGTCATATCCACCTGTGTCCACACTTAACCAGTGTATAAATGGGTGAGGGGCAAACCTGACCACTGAAGCAGAATCTGATTATCAGTTGTGAAGCTGGGAGTCAGCTGGGCTTGTTATGTGCCATAAAAAGGAGCTGATTATCCCCAAGTAGGTCTTTCTTTGCTAAAGAGCCCTTCAGAAACATCAAACAGAATGCTTTAGGGCTCCCTTGTACAGAAGGGCAGTGACCCAGGAAACTTCCCACTAGGGTTGCCAACCTCCAGGATCTCCTGGAATTATGACTGATCTCCATACTGCAAAGGTCAGTACCCCTGGAGAAAATGGCTGCTTGGGAGGGTGGACTGTATGGCATTATACCCTGCCCGCCTGGTTCCTCAACCCCCAAATCTCCAAGAAGTTCCCAACCCAAGCTGGCAACTGTACTTCCTATGGAATTCATAAAGCCTTTCTTCCAAGACAAGATAGTTGTAACTGGGCTGACAGGCTGTACTCCTATTCACTTGGGATTACAAACATTTCTCTCAGCAAGACTTAGGCCTGAATATTTTACCTTCTTGATGAAACCCCTGGTATTACACCTCACTGTAATGCTCTGAAATGACTTGTATTATGCTGCTTCCTGAACTTCCTTAGCATTCCGTAATGACTTTTTCTACCACCAAAGACAGGATTGTATGGTCTCCAGTTGAGACACCCCAATTTGATCCCCAATCTCCTCTTAGCTATTTTGTAGGGTATCCCCTTGAAAGCTTAAGTGCAATGGGGATCCCTGAGATAGGTTTCAGAGCTTGCATCTGGCCTGCATCATAGAGGCAGGATGTCACTGATATGCATAAAGCATTTACATATCCCCAGCTTCAAGGCATGCATAACATGAGCATATACTCTGCTTCAAGAGATGCTTCAGCAGAGCAATATAAGCCATTTCCAGCTGATGAAAAAAGTATCACCTCCAATACAACTATTGATAAAAAAAATAGCCCAATATCTGATCCACCCAGTATGGGCCATCAAGAGAACAATTTTACCTTCATTTTGAACCCGTTTCTTTGTCAGTATGCTAAAAACAGCCATCAATTGCTTCACCGTGAATTGTCCGGTGTCATTTCCTAATCTCCACCAATTGACTCACCTTGGAATGAATTTTGATGACAGTTACCTTCAAATTACCCAATTCAAACTTTACTCAGTTTATCCAGTCCCGATTCTGGGAATTAAGAGTCCGATGTTGAGCTATGGAATCTCCCTCCCTTAAAGAATAAGCCCAGGTTGTTGAAAAGTGTGCCACATCCCCCCAACTACCTGGATACCCCTTCAACTGCTTTGCAGGCTCCCCTCTCTCTCCTTTCCACACTTGGATCTCATCCCTGATTTTATCAGAGTTCAACTTCCAAACAATGCCTTGCATTTATCCCTGGTTATAACAGTATGGGCCTGTTTATCCCAGGACAGGTGTGGGGCAAAACTAGGGTGACCTCAATGTAATATGGAAACAAAAAATACCCCGAGATAATTACAGGGGTGAACTCAAGTGTAGTGTAGTATGTAAGTTCGGGGACAGTGTAGAACCAAAGTTTCAGGTCTAGTGCGGAATCACCCTTTGATACCCTGCTGATTTGGACAACTTGCTGCACAGACTTTCTATGGTTCTCAAGCCTCCCACACACTTTGGACCAGGTAGTATCACCCTTCAGAACCTCCTTCCCTTCTGATCCTTGTCTCTTATCATTCTCTTCTTTTTCTCATGCTTGTATGTGTGTGTTTATTGGGAGGGAGAGTGTGGTTTTATTCTGGGTTTTACTTGAGTAGTTGTATTCGTAGTCCTAAAGGTCAGAGGCAATTTTGGTCTACCTCTAGCTGTATATCTGAGTGCTAGTAAATAAATATTTCATTTAGTTTAAATTGGTTGGTCTCTGTTGCTCTATCTCTTGGGAATATTATTCAGAATAAAACCTCTATATACATCACTAAAAGATCCCTTGTTTATCTGACTGGAGACCCTGTAACAAGCTAATTTTCCTCTCTGGGCCCAATTTGGGAAACAGCATGGCTTCATTATATTGGACTAGGAGTAAGGCCCATTGTGGGAAGAAATACAACGAGCTCTTTAGACAATAAGACTCAAGATAAAGTTGTTAAAAATATTATGATAAAATGGGCACAAAATCTGGCTCACAATATTAAGCTAGACCAATGGTCATAGGTTTGGAAAAGAAATATTAAAATTACAAAAGCAATTTCATATAAAGAAAATGTATATAAGATGTTTTATAGATGGTATATTATGTCTGAAAATTTGGCTAAGTTCGACCCTAAATGTTCAAATGTTTGTTGGAAATGTCAAAATAAGGTTGGTTCCTTTTATCATATGTGGTGGCTGTGTAATAAGGCAAAAAAATGGATTCATGAAATACTACAAAAATGCTGAAGTGTTCTCTACCCTTTGTTCCTGAAATGTTTTTGTTAAATATTATACCTGAGAGATGTAACAAAAATGATTCATATCTCATTTTGTACATAACTACAACTGCTAGAATACTATAGGCTAAATATTGGAGAAGAACTGAAACACCCTTAAAAAAAGAAACTTTAAACAAAATTTTGGAAACAGCCGAAATGGGTAAACTAACTTTAACTCTGAAAGGCCAATCAGAAACAACTCTGGAAAATACCTGGGGAAGGTTTTACAGTTGGCTAGAAGACTACTCCAAATGAACAATATAGTTATTGGAATCCTATTAAGGACAATTGAGTTTCAGAGTCGATACTTTTTGCAAGCGGATTTATTAATGATATAAGGTGAAATTTATAAATGTACTATAATTTAGGCATGAGTTTGTAAAATAAAGAATTGATAGATCAATATCCCCCACTGCATGTTTGTTTTATCTTTAAAACTAATAAAAATATCTGGGGGGGGGGAGTAGAAGGAAGCTTCAGGTGAGTGTCCCGGCTGTGGCTGGGGGGGCGGCAGACGAAAGGGGAAAATAGAGGGAGGCAAGCCATGTTTATTTCCTTCTCGTTAGCTATAAGGCAGGTCTTTCTTTCTAAATGTTCATTAAATAGACCTAGTCACAAATACTTATTTTCACCATTTGCCACTTAGGCTAATAACTTCCACACACGGATCTATTCTCCTCACTTGCCACTTAGGATAATAACTGTCAGAAAAAGAACACACAGGCTTCTCTCAGCCTACAGCACCTCACTCAGTCTCTCCTCTCTTCTCACACAGCATCCCTGAATAGTCAACTCTGCCCCCTAGGGTACAGGACTGTACAGAAGAAAGCTGTCCAGCTGCAGTCCTAAAGGACATTTCTTTGGAAGCAAGACTCATTACAACACATTTGAATTTCTTCTTGGGAACTGTGATTCAGATCCGACAGACATCTCCAAACCAAGCAAAGCTCCTTGGTTTCTTCTGTCAGGATTAGCACTGAAATTCTGTAATTTATTTCCCCCCACAACACTGGCTGTGAGTGAAATTTTTGCATCACACATGTTTCAGAATCAAGATACAGAGCAGACAAAATCATTTTATGGAGCTCTTCATTCAGATGACTGTTTTCTTTCTAGACTCCCTTCTCTTAATAGCTTTCATGTTTCCCATCATGTTTGATTTTATGCCCCTCAGTAGGGAATGTGCTTTACAATTCCTATCTTAGTTACACCAGAACCACAAGTAGGTGGGTGGCCACCCCCCATCACATCTGGAGTTGAGCAGCTCCTTGAGATGCAGACTGGCATAAAAGTCAGGCATGGATTTTTGTTTTAGCTTCCTCGGACTCAAAGATATGAAGAAACAGAAGGGAAGCCCATCATTAGTTCTGGGATGACACATGAGATTTACTTACTGCACAGACTCTTCCTACTCGAGAGTAGATGGCATGGGCTCCTGTCTCCACTTCTATAGCTTTCTCGGTAAAGAAATAGTACACCTTGTTATCCTCCTGGTCTTCATTGTCAGGAATCATATAGGTGCTAACAAATTTAGGTTCTTTAAAACGTTAAAAAAGGGAGAAAGATCACAATTATAAAAAGAGTCTAACAGGAAGCAAGGGAATAATTACATGCATGTGCATGGTGCATGACTGTACAGCTTAATTTCAAACCCACAACCATGGAATGGCCTAAGGCACATGTGATTAACATGTCATGTGGGCTGCAGCACAGGATCTTCTTGTAATCCTTAGAACTGCAGTCTTCCTATCACTTTCTGAAGTCTGGTTTCTAGTTAATGTGGATGCACCTTGTCACTGCAACAATCAACATGGCAGACTGAAAAAGAAAGGAAGCCCACATGCATTATGACCTCCACACTAGTGATGAGTTTTCATGGGGTGACTTACGCTTGTGGGAAATAATTTTAAAATAAGATTCATTAAAATGTTCAGCATGTTGGTTGCATTTGTTATAAAACCAAAGCCTGGTTTGGCCATATTAGGATACATCTCTACTGGAGTTTACTAGGGATGTGCCTTTGGTTTGGCCAAACTGAAAGAAAACCCAAATAATGCCTCTTCTTCATTATTCAGGCACACCAAAAACTGAAACAGATTCTCTGATCTGATTTAGCTGACTGAATAGGGATTCCCTGAATGAATGCTGAATCTATTCAGCATTCATTCGGGGAATCCCTTCACTCGGAAGGCACACCACTGTGATGTGCCTCTCTAGCGAAGGGAAGGGAACTTTAAACACTTTTCCTTGCCTCTAGGGTTTGTGCTGCCTCCGTGGCATGCCTCCCCAGCCAAAGGAAGGTATTTAAACTTTAAATAGCTCCCCTTCCTTCTGGGGCCAGCTGGGGAGGGGAAGTGAAGGGGAGGCATTTAAAGATGCCTCCCCAATCAGTCTTCACTTCCCCAGCTGGCCTGCCACAGCAGGCCAGCTGAGGAAGTGGAGAGAAGGGGGGGGGTCACCTTTAAATGCCCCTCCTTCACTTCCCCAGCTGGCCTGCCAAGGCAGGCTGACTGGAGAAGCAAAGAGAGAAGGGGCCATAGTACCTATGGGGCCATAGTACCTTGGCAGGGCGGCTGGGAAGGGGATGTGAAGGGGAGGCACTTAAAGATGCCTCCCCAATCTGCCTTCATTTCCCCAGGCAGCCTCCGGTGGCGGGCCAGGTGGGGAAGCTCAAAGGAGGGAGAGTGGATTGGTTCCACTCCCCCTCCGCTTGGAGTGAAACCGACACTGTACTGGCAAGCCAAATTTTTTTGGCAATGCTGAATATTGGCATTTACCAATATTTTTTGGGTTTGGTTTACTTGAATGTGGAAAATGCCCCTAGAATTTACCCCTAGGATAGCTCTGAATTCAGTGTTTATTAAGCAATAAAGGGGAAAAAAACCTTTTGCAGTTACCACTGTATACTGTTTTATCATCAGTACTTACAACAAGCAAAAAAGGCAGATCTCTTCCCCAAAGACATTACAGCCTAAAGTTCCATAACAAAGAGAGAACACACAGAGAGGAGAGCAAGGGATGGTTGTGAGCAATTCTAGGTACATAGGCTTAGTGCCTACTAGCTCAGGGGTGGCCAAACTTGCTCACTGTAAGAGCCACATAGAATAAATGTCAGATGTTTGAGAGCCACAAAACATGAACAGATACTACACACTTTTTCCTTGAAAAATATGCAGGTTTGCTTTTTCTTAAAATTAAAGGAGACTTCCAAAAATAAAAAAGGGGTAAAAACAGATATTATCGATAAATATTATCAATCAATGATATTTATTTGCCTAAGAGAGAAAGAGAAAGGGAGAGTGGAAAGAAAGAATGAAAGAGGTGGAAAGAGAGAGAAGCAAAGAAAGCAAAGAGATGGGAGGGAGGGAGAAAAAGCACACCTCCCCTTCGCCTCCCCAGCAGCCCTGCCAGGAGCCGCACAATATGTGTGAAAGAGCTGCATGTGGCTCCCGAGCCATGGTTTGGCCACCCCTGTACTAGCTTGAAACTTCTGCTGGGAGGGAAGCACCCAGACTGGATAGAAGAAGAAGAAGACATTGGATTTATACCCCACCCTTCACTACCCAAAGGTGTCTCAGAGCGGCTTACAAACTCCTTTCCCTTCCCCTCCTTAACCACTTAACCACTACACCAAACTGGCTCTCAGCCAGGGAATACTCAGCCCGGGAAGTGTGTGAATGTGTTCAACTGAATGTTCAGGTTGTGTCTGAGGTCCTTACGTGGCCATTCCTCTAACCCTACAGGAAAGACAGGCATGCTGGCGTTGATCTAATACAAAGCTTTTGGGCTGGCCAAAGTGTGACAAAGCAGAGCTTTTATCAGGACAGACACCCCTCCCCCTACTACTAGAACTAGGTATATAGTGAAGCAAAACACCTGCTTGATTAAGTGCTTTCCCAGAGCCACTATTCACAATACGCTGAGGCCAAAGAGAACTTCCCAAGTGAGATGAGGCTGGCACATCCCGGTGCTACAGCATTGTTATCCTGGCAAGGAATGGGGGAAAAATGAGTGCTTGCACAGACCACTTGTACCTTTCAAGAGTCGGTCATCATCTGGCTGGGTCCGGATATGGGCTGTGTGCCCCACTGTGCGGAAGATAGCAGCATCTCTCCCCCAGTAGTCACTGTAGAGCCCAGCAAACAATGCACCACCTGTGAACCAGATGTATTCATTATGAAGTTATAGGAATGCCAGTGTGAAGGAATGCAGTTTTTCTCCTGGGAGGTTTGAGGTGAACAAAGCCTCCACTGTGCGTTTTAGAAGTTTTTTCTCTCGGCAGAGAACAGGCATGGGAAGAAGGAAGTCTGTGCAATTGCTTTCCAGACATCTTCATTCATATGCTAATAGATCTAGCAGGAGAGATAATGTGTGGGGCAAGATCTCTCCCTTCCTGCTAGCAGGGAACAGAGGTTTGGAGGGATAAAATCATACATAGTCTTCAGGGAGGAGATTCCTGGAGATCTCCAGAAAATGCCTCTTTGACCTGGTGTGACCTGGTCAATGGGTAGAGAAACAAAGCCCTGACCCTCCCAGTGAGTAATTCCTTACAAAGTTCAGGTGGTGATAGTGGGCTACTGGAGAGAAAGAAAAGCCCCCCCAGGGGTTCAGAAACCCCTAGAAGGGGAGGGCAGAATAGGGCCTGCAGGCCAGAGCAGGCATGTTCTGTCACAATTTGGTGGCATAGTGAGATAAGGACAAACAGAGAACTTGATTGGCCAGGGATTGTGAATTTGGCACATGCATGCACAGGTCGACTGGAGAATGGTCAGTTGGTGGTGGATGGCTACTGGAGAGAAAGAAAAATCCCCTCCAGGTGTTGAGAAGAACCCAGGAGGGCAGTCCAAAGCAGGCCTCTTCCACCACAGTCAGCATTTAACATCCCCCCCACCCCAACAGCCAGAAGCTTTAAATGAGAGGAAAAGCAAATACACACTCCTTTTGCTGTGCTGGGCCTAACAATTCATAGCTGTAGGACTGAAACTTACTGGGTACTCTGTCAGTCAGATGACTGAATACATGGAACTAGCTCAATATATATACTCACCTGTAAATAAGTTAAAAGCCAATTAAGATTGCAAACGGCTGATGTTTCTCTTTTAAGAAAAGGATTTTATCAGATGTCATCCTTTCCTCTTAAGAGTACAAAGGGATTAAAAGTGTCTTACTTTTTGGTCATTAGATGTCTCCAGGGCCTTTTTTTGTAGAAAAAGCCCAGCAGGAACTCAATAGCATAATTAGCACAATAGCAAAATACTAATTTGCATATGCCACACCCCCTGATAAAGGGCAGGCATGCAAGCATGCCTGGATTCCCTGCCTGATCGGGCAGGGAACCCACCCCCCTTCTGGGAAGGGCAGGCAGGCAGACATGCCTGCGTTCCCTGCCCAATCTTCTTTAGGTGCTCCGTGGCTGCGGGGCACCTAGAGAAGATCGGGCAGGGAACCCAGGCATGTCTAGAGGTTTTGGCTGTAGGCGTGGCCAACTCTGAAGCTAGCCAGAACTCCGTTCCTGTGCGTTCCTGCCCAAAAATAGCCCAGGATGTCTCCCTTTGTTCCAGAAATCAAACAGCAACCTTACACAAAGGTTCCTGGTTAAGCTGTGTGGATATTTTGTTGCCTTCCCCCTGTATCTTTTTCTCTTTCATCCTTTACAAAACTCTAAGCAAAACCAAACAGAACTGACCAATGCAACTATCATTGCTTACATCTTTTTGCAAAGAACTGCTTCTATATTAGTTTGGGTTAATTTCAATTTAAGAATTTACTTAAACTTAAAGTACTGACTTGGATAGCCTAGGATAGCCCTATCTTGTCAGAACTTGGAAGCTAAGCAGGGTCAACCCTGGCTAGGATTTGGATGGGAGCCCTCCAAGGAATACCAGGGTCGTGACACAGAGGCAGGCAATGGCAAACCAACTTTGAATGTCTCTTAGCTTGAAAACCTATGGGATCGCCACAAGTCCGCTGTGACCTGACGGCAAAAAAAAGTATTTAAAAGGCAATATGCTATAATTCTGAACTCTGTAACTCTAGATAATGATCATGACTACTTTATAGAAGGCTGGCAGCTGAGGAAAACTGAGGCTGTGGTCACAGTAGAGGCTTCGTGTAATCTGGCTACACCTCTATTTGTGATGGTTTAAATAGTTGCATGAAGTTTTGACCAGACATCCCACCATGAACCAGCTTCACTGTGTGCTCGCCCCATGGTCCATCATTCAGATTGTTGCAGCATTCTTTTTTTTTTTTGGTCTTTTGCCCATGTGTTTAAGCATGTGTCTGAAGCTCCAGCTCCTTTTTGACAGCTCCACAATCTAAGTAGTCTGTCCCCTTTCAGCATCCTTCCCCTTGCCTCTCTTCTGTGGAACATATTGGGGGGGAGCATCATGGGAGAGAGGGTATTTTTGGGGGGGATTTGTCACTCAAAAACAACTCCCCTGGGGACTCCCAATCCAGAATGACTACTTGGTTGAGGTGATTGACAACGCCAGGGACAATTATGCATTTATGCGAACATCGCTACCTGAGCCCCAAAAAATGAGGTGGAAATGGAAGGGAAGGTTCAGACTTCCCAAATGGCTTGACTTCTCAAGAGGAGAGTTTAGATAGTCAGAAACACAGCGTGAAAGCACTGGCATCCCTAAATATTTATTAATATGTTTGTTTGTTAAATTGTATTTTCTAGGCTGTCCCGAGTAGGGCTCAGGGTGGCTTACAACAAGGCAGCATACAATAAATAATTTCAGTTAAAACCAGCATCAGACCTTCCTAAAAACAAGTCCAAGGGTATACTGAAACAGATGGTCCCAAAGATATATTGGACTTACCCCGGTGTCTGATTACTCTGCTTCCAAAGCAAGGCAAAGCGGAGTGTCAAAAACTGGGGAATGAAAGGCAGATCTTGTTGTCTGATTGTGCTCCTTAAATCCACAAAGGAAATGCAACTGCTTGTGTGACCACAGCCTCAGAGAACTTTACAAGTACCTGCCCAAGCAGAGTTTTCCCTGAGGGAAATCTGTCATATGTCTTTCAGGTGTAAATTTTCTTTGTAAAAAAGAAAGGAGTTGAGGTCAGAAATGTGAATCCTGTCATAAATCTTCCAAGGATGAATTCTCTATGCAGTTGGCTAGAACAGAATTAGCAGTTAGCAGGTCTGAAGAGTCCTGATTTTAAAAGCCTGCAGGGGTGTTGGGTGGCACTGCTGAGTTAGTGATTTACAGAGAAAAGAAAACTGGATTTAGAGCTTCAGGTTTCAGAAACTGGAAGAAGGCTCACACACTTCTTTAATTCTGCAAACTATATAAAACAGTTGCTTGGGAGGGCATTTTTATTTAGCTTATATAGGACAGGACAGTAGTCTATGCCACAGTGTACACGATATTATCGATTTATTGTATGTTCTATCCTGATCTTACAGGATTGTTTTCATTTTTTGAAATTCAATTTTCTGCATTGTTTGACATAGTATGTTTGATACTTTTTTGGTTGGATTTTTGTAATTTTTGTACACATATTTTTACACCTATTATTGTACATGCTGTTTGGTTACAATGTTCTATACCATGTAATCCGTTTTTAAAATTGGTAAATAACTAATAAAGTATAAATAATAAATTAATAATGATGGGCTGACCACCACTGTACTCATTTAACCCCCACCCCAATAAAAAATGTCTGGCTACGGGCCTGCACCAGAGACCTGAGGAAGCTGCACTGGATGTTTTCAAAACACATTTTGGCCACCATGGGTCTGTAAACCAAGGATGGCCAGACTTTCAGATCCACCAAGCTGCAGACAGCAACCTTTAAAAATGCAAGAACCAAAATACACAGATAGCCCTTTAAATGCATGGCATGTTCTATATTAGCATGAAGTATTAACATTGTACAGCTAGAGTAGAAGCCTTGTGAATCTTCATACTGGCTCTCTGTCTTCTGAAGTCTGGTTTATATGTTCAGAGGACTGATGTTCATTTGAAAACAGTACCTGAGGGTTAGATTTTACCAGCTTTATCAATGGAAAATATGCACGATAGTATGTTGAGCTCAAAATAGAAATCAACTGCAAATTAGTTTTCTTTAAGTGAACTCCTAGCTCTTACTTCCAAAACGCAACTATATACTTTGATGTCATTTATCATCTTTAGGGCCCAGTCCTCCTGAACTTCCAGGTGATTCTGTGACCCTGGTTTGGGGAACTGGATAGCCATCACTGATCCAATCACTGAGAAATAGATTTAGATGATAGTCCAAGAAACATGGTATTGGCTGATATAGTGAGCTGGTAAGACAGTGGCTGAATCTCAGCTGGCACTAACCTCTGTAATGTTCTCAGGTGAGCAGCAGCAGCAGCAGTAGCAGGGTCAGCAGGTGATGGATGAAGCACCTCCATCAGGCATGCAAGTGTGACCCTGCCAGGTTTCCCTGCAACATCCCAGTAGCAAACCCACCACTGAGTGGCCCAGCTCATCTTTTCACAAAGGTTTTCTGGCCCTGTTTGGCCATGTTAGCCCTGGCTTCCCCATCCTCACCGACCTCACTCTTCAGGGGAAAGGAAGTGACCAGCCCCTTGGGCCTACTGTGTGGCAGCCTCCACCAAGGTTGCACTTGGTTGACTGGCCCTCTGGTGACCCATCCCAAGTGAGGCAACTGGACTGAGCCAGAGAGAGTATTCCCTGTCATGGAAACCTGATGCTGGCGTTTTAAAGGAAGCTGCTACGGGAGTCTCCCCAGAGTGTGGCAAGAGTCCCAGATGCCTCCCACCCTATTAATATGTAATGTGGGTATGATGGGGACCCTCAGGGGCTCCCTTCCCTATGATGTATCATACTCCTCTTCTGAGGAGTCTTCCTTTGGCATCAAGGATGGGCTAACACAGACACTGACATGTGCTCTTTCTCCCAAATTACAGATATCCTTGGCAGAAAGTAGACAAGGGTGAACTGTGAGATGAATTCTTAAGCTATGTTTTCAAACATCAGATCAACAGGTGATCTTTTATTCCTGAGGAAGTGCATGTCGGCTAAGGCTAGGGGCAAAGGGGCTTCTCTTGAGCCATTAGGGAAATTGAAAGGTTTACAAGGACATTTTTCACTGTGCACAATTAAATCCTTCATGAATTGTGCTTAAAAATGTAATTACTGAAAACTGAAAGCAAAATATTAGTAATGTTACAGTTACAGGAATATTTTGAAATTAAATATAAAATAATGCTACAATGAAACAATGAAAATGACAACATTCCCATTCTGACAAAATTATTTTTAGTTAAATTGCATGACTTGGCTATAAAATTGCACTCAAGGTAACATAAAGATCCGAAAGACATCAAAGAGAAAAGCAGTTTTTTAAAAAAGGCAATCTAAAACCTGTCCAAACCAAGAAGTCTCTTCTTGCTTAAGCAGCATGTCCTATCTACATTTATTAAACAAACAAACAAACAAAAAGGCAGCACACACTACAATTCTCTGTCACCTACCTCATCTTTACTGCTCATAGCCAGATACAATTGATTGATTTTTCTTTAATATATGATTGTCAGATATATTGCGGGTTGCTGGATCACTGGGAAACTTCATCACCTACTAACTGATGCCTGTATGTATGTACATATAGATGCATGAAAAGTCCCATAGCGTTACCCCCAAATGGTAAATTTTAGGGGGTTTTGTATTTAGAGGCCCCTCTTAGTCTGAGGCCTTAAACTATAGCTTACTTAGCTTCCACATAAATCCACCTGTTCCCACCCAAACGGTGGGATCCCATCCACCACAGCAGTGGGAAAGATGTGGACTAGGAAGGGTGCAGATGAGAGGAGGACTACCGGATATGTATCAAAAGCCACTTTTTAAAAAGACAATTACCATTCATTCAAGAGCTGCTGTGGTTCTTGCCAATCTGCCGGTGGGATCTGTTACCAAGTAGAATTTTGCTTACTGGAAGCAGACAGAAAAGTCCATTTGTTTCAGATATTTGGGTCCAAAAATTCTTCAACATTTTTATGGGGTATTATCTGTGGTCAAAAGCCTGCTCTGTTTCCTGATTGTAATTCCTACCTTATTACAAGTTTATTCATTCAGAAACAGAATTGCACAACGTGGCTTTCCTTCTAAGACACCACATTAAAAGCCTATACAAGGCAGGGAGTTTTCGAGGCAATCCATAAACAAATAAAGCTCCCAAACAAACAGGGGGCACTATCCAGTGTGCGTTAAACACTTTCAGGGCTCATCTATTTTCATGGGAATGCTGAACTGCTGCTCTCCCACTGAAAGTGAGCAGGAGTTGAGAGAGTGCTTAACGCGGGACGGATCATGCCCAGTATTTTTAACTAAAAGAAAGAAATGTCAAGAACTATCAACACATTAATCCTCACTGAAGACATCCTCAATAAAAAGGATTTTAAATCCAATAAATATGATTGATTGATCCTGGAGGAAAAAAAAATCACAAATGCATATAATATTTAAAAAGACCTCAAAGAATCATTGTCACACTGGTCCCTGAGAAAGGTGCAACACATCAGAATACATATAAATAACCTACTAGATGACCCAACCTACTAGATGACTCAATCTAGCTAGGATACCCTTCTGGACCAAACGTGTCCTTTAGGATATATGAACTTTACACACCCAGAAGGGTGTTGGGTGGGGAAACGGTCCCCATTCAAAAGTGCTTGTATGGTGCTTGGAAAGCACTGAGACAAGAACCAACAACCATTCTTCAAGATGCAGGATGTGTAGGGGGACGACCACTTAGCTGCTTGAATCAATTTGCCTTGCACCAGCCCTGTGCAAACATAAATGAAATGCAAAAATTAATCTATCTAGTACAGATGAATCCTGCCCTTCCTCCAGGGGGCTTGCCTGAGCACATTTCAAAGGTTAGAGCCAGAGTGGTGTGGTGGTTGGGATGCTTGACCAGTAAGAAAGTGGATGCGTCCCAGCACTCCAACCACAATATCACTCTGGCTCCCTAGCATCTCTGGGGAGATCCTGTTCTCAGTTGCACAGGCTTCCAAAGAGTGATCAAGGAGGAAACTCAGAAAGACCTTGTGACACCAGGAGGCATTACCAAAGAGAGTGGAGATGAAGGAGGAACTGGAGTCAAAGGGGCACCTGCCACGGCCTCTCTCCAGCCTGTGAGCTTCCAGATGAAACAGATGGACCTGGGGGGGGGGAAGAAGCACAGAAAGCATTAAAAATGCAGTGGAGCATGCAAGAGAGTATGTCATCCAATGTGGTGGGTCATGAGCTCTTTAAATACTGACATGGCTGCTTTGCATGCCAATGTGATCAAATGAGATATTTGACCCAAACATCCTGTGAAGAAACCCAAGTTCTCACTGCCCCCCACCCCAGGCAAATGCAACAGGCAAAACCAATTGGGTGCAACAATACCTTTGCATGGCATTTTCACTGTCAAGAGCCAATGCTCAGCAGTTAAACAGACAACAAAGGTACCTCTCCTTTATTCATATTTGCTATGCTTTGAGACAGGGTTATTCCACAAACAGAGGTGCAACTTAATGACCATTCAGTTTCCTACAATGAACCTAATCAAAACTTGCCAGAATAATCCACCCCCTTATGCTTGTACCCTGGTAGCTTTGTCAGTGACATTTTCCCTTATATTTTATGCCTCCTCCTTTTGCACCTCCTTTATTGGCCTTTGTGTGGAAGCCCCACCTGCCCCACTACTTGTTAGATAGGTTTGTTGTTTTGTCTTTGTCCCATTGTACACTCTATTCCCTTACTTGTATGTTTTTATCTTTTGTCTAATTTTGTAATAAATTCCTAAAATTGTGTTTTTAAACATTGGAGTGAGCTACTAGTCCAGAACCCAAGTTCATTTTGTTCCAGTGCCATACTTACACTACCAAAAGGATTGTTTACTAATTGGTTATAATTAAATTCCTATTTTTTTTTTATAAAATCTCAGCCAGTTGACATTGCTGGGGCACCCCAATGTCATGAAAGTCATCCATACCACTTTTTCTTACACTGTGAAAAGAAGGGAGCATCAGGTCATGTGACTGCTCTGCTCCTGTCCGTCTTGCTGTGACTCAACATTTTTAAAAGCTATAGTGGATTGTGCCTGCCAAGTAGTCTCAACTGCAGCAGATGATATGAAAAACATGGACACGCTGCTGTTCAGGAAAGTGCCCCCCCCTACGCTTAGCTCCTTTGTACCCTACAAAGATGTATCCTGGAAAACAGTGTTAGGAGATGAACTGAATATTTGCTTTTATGTATTTGTCCTTGCTGACACACACTCACTTTCATGGACTGTGCCTATAAATCCCTATGGGCTTGGGAAAGCTGTTTGCATTGCATGCTGTGACTGCTTCATCTGGAGAGTATCTTGCCTGTAGTTTATGCAAATGGAGCTTGCACTCACACAGCCCAGTTTGAGGAAGGGGGCTGCATTGCCATTGGGACCAGCACAAAACAACAACTTTAATGGTTTCAACCACCATGAATGAACTGTGAGGAAACATGTAACCCTGATATCTGGTTTGCATCCAAAGAGACAGTTTCCTGCCAAATGGCCACTTTATGGCTTGGGACCAAGCCAGAGTCATCTACACTTCAATGGTTGCCTTGGTACTGATCTTCACACCTTGACCAGATGCATCCCCTTGAGTTAAAGGTTAAGATTTCAATATCGCCCACTCCTTCTAGGTAGGCACGTCATCCCCCAATAACCAATAATGTTAGTTCTTGGGACGGACCACAGGTGGGAAGGGCAAGGAGGATGGCATCAATGCCGGCCCCCAAGAGCCCCCCTATATAAAGTGAGGTTCAACAGTTTGAACCCCGCTAGCCATCTTCTCTCCTGAAGCTATTTACTTATAGCTTGGCTACACAAGCAACTCTTTGTTATCACTGACCTCGTGGACTGCAGCCACGGAGGTCTGCATGTGTTGGCAGGTTCCAACGGTGTGAGTTTAGATTCTCTTTAGTTATTCTAGTCTCATTCTTGTATTCTTCATTGAGAAGGTCAAACTTCGGATCAGATAAGTATTTGCTACTTCCTTCCCCATCCTTTAGTTTAATAGTAACTATTTCCTATTCCTGTAACTCTGAGGAACTTGTGCGATTGTGTGTGTGACTCAGTTTTTGTATGTATGCGAACTAAATATTATCATTCAGTAAAAAGAACAACTTGCTTTTAAGATACAAGCCTCGTCTCCATTTATATCACTGGGAAATTCCTCAGGGTGGGTTTGGACCTCTGTATACACAGGCAAAGGACCCCAAAATAGTTAGTCTTGCCTCTGTCGTAAATAAGGCAGTTTGGCTAACAACAGTAAAGTTTTCCCATTAATGCTAGTCAGCTCATAAATTCTATTCTTGAAAAAGTACTTTCTTTTTAAAACCTTTTTGTTTTAATTTAATAAAAACATGAACTATAAACAATGAACATTGAACAATAATCCCTGAACAATACAATGGAGCAGTAATAGATTACAAAAACGTTAGTTGAAATGTTAGAATAAAGCTATAACTTTAAATTTCTCAGGAATCGTCTGTTGCATTTGTAGATCATGCTATATAAGTCAAAAATGGAAGCTATTTTTCTAAGAATACTGATTGATGTGTTGGGTTATCAGCACATTGTATATGATCAGTTACTTGTTCCATAATAAGGAATTCCCATAATTTAATCAACCATTGATTTAATTATGGTAAGCCTTCACTTTTCCACTGATGAGCAAATGTTGTCTTGGAAGCTACAAACATAATTGAAATTAAATCCTTCCTCATTTTAAGAATATCAATATCATCCCATAGGTTTTGTAGAATTATTTTAAGGTTTATAGTGGAATATCGATGCCAGTAATAATTTTTGTTTTCTCCAATATTTCTTTCCAAAACGTTTGCTTTTTGGACAATCCCACCAGCTATGACAGAATGAGGCAATTTGGCCACATCCCTTCCAACAGTGTGGATTTATAGTTGGGGTGATGTGATGCAGTTTCAGAGGAGTCATATACCATCTATTTAGTACTTTTAAAAAATGAACCTTGATATTGATGTCATTAGTTGTTGCTGCACTGGCAGACCATATTGTATTCCATTGCTACTCAGTAATTTTATTCTGAAAAGAGAGAAGGCAAGAAGGAGGGAACCCTGTGAGGTGGGTGGGGCTGAGAGAACTCTGACACAAACTGCTCTTTTTCAAGGACAGCTGTGCCAGAGCTTGTGACTGACCCAAGGTCACATCAGCAGGTGCAAGTGGAGGAGTGGGGAATCAAACCCGGTTCTCCCAGATTAGAGTCCACGCACTTAACCACTACACCAAACTGGTGTAGAGAGGAAAGAAGGTGGGAAAGAGGGAAAGAAAGTGCAGGCCGTCGCGGGCTGGAAAAGGCGAGGGAGGTGGGCAGGCCTCTCCCTGGGCCCCATGAATGGGCGCAGGCCGGGAAAGGTGAGGGGTGGGTGGGCAGGCCTTTCCCCGGGCCCTGCAGCCAGGCGTGGACTGGAAAAGGTGAGGGGTGGGTGGGCAGGCCTTTCCCTGGGCCCCGCACCTGGGCGCGGGCCGGGAAAGATGGGGGTGGCCTCTGCAACTTACCTTGCTTCTTCTTGCTCCTTGTGGCCTGACTGAGGGCTGATGGGAGCAGGGGGCGGGGCTTGCTGCATGTGCCTGCCCCCTGGGCTCTTTACTGCCAGAGCATAGTTCCTGTGTGCTCCGGCAGGAAATGATCCCTCGGTAGGGCTGAATCATCTTGTAGGAGTATCCCAGGCTGTGACATGCTAATGGCAGAGCTTTCCTGAGGAGGTTCTTTTGCATACGGATTGGCTGTTGAAATTCTGATCTTATCTGTAGTGCTGTTGTAAGATGTAGAGCATTTTGTGGTTTTTTGATGTTTTCCTTTTTCTTTTCTTTTTTTTTGAAATAGTATATTATAATAGTGATTGTAATGCAATGCGATAGCTTGTTGATCTCTGACATAAAACTGTACCCCAGGAAAAAGATTCTGTCAGTTAATTCCATGTTTTAGTGAAACAAAATGTTATTACTACTCTTAACAATGAATAACATAATTGAATATGTAATATAATTTGGAATGGTAGATTTAAATGTAGTTCTGTTTTGGGGACAAGGAAAATACTCTACACAGCCAAGATGCTGTAAAGTTAGCCTCCATGCTAGAAAGGAGATGGATGGGGTTTGACAGGATTCTCACAATTTAGGGCAGATCGATCTCCAGTTCTGACATATTTATTACCTATGTTGCCCCCCCCCTTGAACCCAGACAGATGATAACCAGAAACCCAGCATGTCACTCTTTTGATCTGTTAAAAAAATATCTTCACTATTTTGCATGCTAATTTAACAAGACACTCCTATATCTACAACTATGATATGTAATTCCATTCATCATCTGACGAAGTGTGTGTGCACATAAAAACTCACACCTTGAATAAACCTTTGTTGGTCTTAAAGGTGCCATTGGACTCTAAGTTTGTTCTAATATCACTATATTCATTTATCCCCATTTACTTTTCTTGTCAGATGTGGAGAGGGGCGAGCCACAGCTTAATTTTGCTTATGGAAATCATTAACAGAGGGCTTTTCAACTCATCAGTTTTAAGTTTTACATCTCTTTCTGTCTCGGTCTCCAAGGACTCTCACATTCCACATTTAGGCCAGGAGACAGCTGTATCTGTTCCTTTCATTGTTCCCCTGTGAAAACTGGAGAATTTTGCATGTAGGCTCAGAGCCCTAAAACAATTAAGGAAATCTTTGCATTTTGCATACTATATTCAAGACGGAGAGCAGAAACAACACACTCTATAGCAGCATCTGAGCCCCAAAAGCACAGTGGAACTTATTCACCAACAATGACATGCTTTGGTTCATCCTAACTATAATGGTTAAGTCAGTGTGCATGCCCCCTCTGTGCCTCTCTAGCAGAAGGCGGCAGCATGTGTGTGTGGGAAGTCTTTTGGCAAAAGCCATAGCCTCAAAAAAAGCTCCTCCTCATAAAATAAATCCTGCCCAGGGCAATAATATATTCTTTGATAAATATTCTACGCTGACTGCATCCTCTGTTATTACTCAACTAGAATTTATTTGACCAGTTTGTTGTTCTAGGAAAGCCACAGATGACTACAAACTGGATAGCCCAGGCAAGCCCAATCTCTTCAGATCCTGGAA